CTCAGTTTCACCATGTTGCCCAGCCTGGATTTTAACTCATGAACTCAAGTGATCATCCTAACTCAGCCTCTTAAGTAGCTGGGACTATAGTTGTATATTACCATGTCCAGATTAAAAAGATTTTTTTCTTTATTATTTTTATTTTATGTGTATGAGTGTATTGCCTGCATGTATGTGAGTGTACCTGTGTCATGCAATGCCATGGAGGTCAGAAGAGGGCTTTGGATTCCCCTGGAACTGGAGTCAAGGACAGTTTGTAGCTGCCATGTGGGTACTGGGACTCAAACCTGGGTCCTTTGCAAGAGCAGTCAGTGCTCTTAATTGCTGAGCCATCTCTCCAGCCCCCTCCCATGTCCAGATTTTTAAAAATGTTGTATTTCTATAATTTCATAAAATAAATACATAAAAAGGTTAAATATGAATTAAGGGTACACAGTGAAATATCCCCTATCCTTTTCTAGTTTTTCTGTAGCCTTCCAAAACTTTTGCTGTTATTATACATGTTGGTACAATGGTGCTAGAGAGATGGCTCAGCAATTAAGTGCACTGGCTGTTCTTCCAGAGGACCTGGGTTCAATTCCCAGCATCCACATGGAGGCTAACAATGGTCTGTAACTCCAGTTCCAGGGGATCCGACACCCTCTTCTGGCCTCTGCAGGCATTGCATGACATGGGTGCACTTACATACATGCAGGCAAAACAATCATACACATAAATAATAATGATAATCTTGGTACAGATGGCTTTAGTATATCTGACTCTGAATATATCATCTCATGTACTGATAAATGCCTGAGGTGAAACTGCTGCCTACATTTCCCTGCTCAGGAAACATGTCATTAATCAGTTCCTACAACTTTTCCCTGCCAGAAGAAGCTTCCAACATGCATTTAACTACTCCCTTACCTTTCCTTTCCCTATGTCTTAGATCTGAAACACCCCTCCAAATCCCAAGGTTGAAGCCTTGGCTTTAAGTCTGTGGTGGGAGGTGGTGAGGCCATCAGGAGCTGTGGACTAGGAAAGAAGTTCGGTGACTGGGAAAGGGTCTTTAGGGGGCATGGGAACCTGGGTGCTTCACTCGCTGTACTTGCTTTTTGGCGCCCACTCCTGAGCCCCACACTCCTGTCACCATGCTATACAATGCTGCCACACCAAAGCCACAGGGCCAAGGGACCACAAGCTGAAACCTTGGAAACCATGATTCCAACACACTCTTTCCTCCTCATAGTTCAGGTATCTTACCACAACTGGAAAGCCAAATGACTGCCAGACTAAACTTTAAAATCACATTAAATTTTTTTGACAGGGTCTCCCTACTGCCAACCTGCCTAGAAGTCACCATGTGGACCAGGCTAGCCTCCAGAGGACTGGGATTTAAAGGCTGTGCCACTATGCCCAGTGTTCATATTAAATTTTTACTCTCGTTTTTCCTTTAAAGGCTTGAAAATTCTACCCATTTCACAAATCCTTAACATTACATCAAACTTCTTTGCTATAGTTTATCCATAACTTGGGGTTAAGAAACAAGTTTTACTGTTTCTTTGAATTCTATAGTAGTATTCCAAGAACATTCCCACCAAGTGTGGGTAAAATGCCTTTGGTCAGAGATAAGGTTCCAAGTTCAAAATACATCCTATGGACATGTTTTTGATTGGTTCCATTCCTTTTTTGAGATAAGGTCTCCTTATGTACCCAAGGCTGGCTTGGAACTTGCTATGTAGCCTAGGCTGGCATTGCAGGTATGTGTGCCACCATGTTCTGCTCTATGGGCACTTTAAAAATACTACACCATTGTCATATAATGTTCTATTACAAATTGGAAGTTGTGCTGGATAGCTTTAGTGTCAACTTGACACACCTGGGTTGAGGGAGCCTCAATTGGGGAATTTCCTCTATTGGACTGGCCTGTGGCCATGTCTGAGGGGCATCTTCTTGATGAGTGATGTGGGAGGGCCCAGCCCACTGTGGGTGGTGCCACCCCTGGGCAGGTGGGCCTGTGTTGCATAAGAAAGTAGGCTGAGCAGGGGACAGGGGAGCAAGCCAGTAAGCAGCATTCCTCCATGGTCTGTGCTCCAGCTCCTGCCTCCAGGTTCCTGCCCTGAGTTCCTACCTTGGGCTCCTGGATGAACTGTGACCTGGGATATGTAAGCTAAATAAACCCTTTCCTCCCCAAGTTGGTAGTGGTCAGAATATTTTGTCACAGCAATGGAGAAACAAACTAGGACAGAAGTCCACTTGGAAATCTAATTTCTATTTCTTTATAAATAAAAATTTGCCTTAGAAAGCTTATGAGATTATATAGCTATTAAGTTCATAAATTTCATCAGAATGTATCTAAGTGTGTCTCCAACAACACTGAGACTCCATGTAGCTAACTCCTAAACTCACATACTTCTACTCTGAGAAATATCCTTATTTCCTTGATACAAATAAATCTGTCATCTTCTGTGAATTGGTAGGAGAGTGGTGATCAGCAGCTGTAAATGTTTTCCATCAGCTCTCTGAAAAGGCATGCTTTCTGATCATCTCTACCCCTAGATCAAGAAAGGAGAGATTAGAGGGAAGGGCTGATTTCTGTTTGCCAGTAATTTGTCCCCTGACTGATAATTATGCCTATCTAGCTCAGGTTACCTAAGATTCTGCCTGGTTGCTCTTACCCTCAGTATCTCTGTGGTTATTCCTTTTCTTCCAGTTTACCCCCAGTGCTCATAAGAGGTGCACTGAGGATGGGGCTGGAGAGATGGCTCAGCGGTTAAGAGCACTGATTGCTCTTGCAGAGAACCCGGGTTCGATTCCTAGCACCCACATAGCGGCTACAAACCGTCCTTAACTCCAGTTCCAGGGGAAGCCGAAACCCTCTTCTGACCTCCATGGCATTGCACGACATGGGTGTACTCACAAACATGCAGGCAATACACTCATAAAATAAAAATAATAAAAAAATGTTTTTAAAAAAAAGAGGTGCACTGGCTCTTCTAGATCTACTTTCTATGCCATGGCTCTTCTTTCCTACTTTCTGCATGTTAATATTCAAAATCTGCCCCCTCCCCTGGCAGCCTATGTGTTTAGTGGGCAGAGCACCCTCCCTAATTTGGGGTACTAATACAAGTTTTCTTCCACTCCACTGCTTCTCGTATTTGCTCAATCTGGGGCATCTTACATGCTATTGACTTCCTACAGATGTCAGGAAATAACTATACTAGTGTCATAAATTCACATCTGAACTAATCTTGTAATTCCATTTTACACTTCCATCTAGTGGCATGACAATAACAATGTCAGTTTTTTTTAATCTTGAAACCCCAAGATTCTTCAATCCATTTTTAGTTATAGCCTTGAGTGCTTCATTTCCCCTAACAACCGTTACTTTATTTCCCCTAACAACCACTAACTTGAGTAACACAGTTCTTACCAACGTTATACCAAACTGTAGAGTCATACTGTGACCAGCTCTAACTGACTTGTGGTAAGACAGTCAAACAGGTAATGACAGCTGGGAGAAGGCTGTCAAATGTGCAAATACAAAGTGTAAATAATAACATAGTAATTAATAATATAAATCCTGGACTCATCATAGTTCTATTTTTTACCAATCTTTACTGTTGTAATAGTTAAAATAAGAGATTCTGTTGCATTTTTTAAAAGGAAAAGTCCATGGTAATTTTCCACCTATCCATGACTCATTCTACATTTGAGAGTGCATTCACATACTCACCAAGACATTTACAAGAACATTCATAGCATAATCAATATCCAAAAGAAATAATATACAAAACTGAAAACACAATGTTCACAAACAGAAGAGTGGGTGTATCACACAATGGAGTACCATACAATAAAAAGAACTACCAGTACCATGCTGCGGAATGAATAAGTAACATCCCATCACAAAAATTTCATAGATGTTCCACAAGCAACACGCAGAAAATACTGTACATAGCTCCATTAATAGGAAGCTGAAAACAGACAAAACTAACAGGTGAGGAGAGAAGTCAGAACACTGATTGGGAAGCAATGGTACAACGGAACTGGAAGATGCGGAGCATATTGGAAAAGTTTCCTATGGCTGTTATACCTCGACAAAAAAGGGAAGGGGAAAAAGATAATTTCTAAACTCTCTGGAACTAAAGCTGGTGGTTTAGCTTCAAACTCTCTAAGCCCTGTGTAATGGAAATCCAACACCTCTTTCGTATCCTTTTAATCACATCATTTTAAACAAGCAGCAGCAGCAGATAATACAAAATACTCCTGACCACTGACACAAATACTTGGTGCTATTTTAATGCAGCTTTAAAGGACAGCATTAATCCCTGCAGAAATAAAAGGCCGGGAGCCTTCACTGACAGTCAACTGTCACGGGCACGCGTGCTTCACAAGCAGGCTTTAAGCAGCTTGGACTCAACCTCGCCGCCGGGTCGGCAGCCAAACCGGAGGTCCCCGCCACTGGCTCAGGGAGGAGGGCTGCACCACCAATTCTGACAGCAGCAAAGGTTCGCAGTCCACGGGGAGCACGGGCCCCACGGGGCGCTCCACCCACGAGCATCTTCCAGGTGGCCGTGCAGCCAGGGCCGGGGTGCAGGCAGCTGTCAGAGACCAGGATCGCCCCACACTAAGAAGTCGGGCCACGCAGGGAGCAGAGACCACGCAGACAACAGAACCTGACCAAACTCGGGGCTGCTGCGTCCCGGGGGTCGTCGGAGGCGACCCGCCGCCCGCC